ATGAGAAACTAGAGACATTTATAGCTAAATGGATGCATACGAGGACATACTCTTAAGTGAAATAAATAGGACATATATATGTAAATACCAAATAGTTTCTCTGGTGTGAGAAACTGAAAGTGTAAATAAGGATTAAAAGGAATAATTTGATAATGGAAAATAGGAAGAAAAGGTCCAAAGGGGTAGGGGAAGTGGGAGGGGTAGGGAAAGGAAAGAAGGGAAAGGAAAAATTATGACAAAAGGAAAGAATGGAAACAAAGTCTTTGTAAATAGGGAGGGGTAGAGGGGGTGAAGGGAGAACAGGAAATGGGGAAAAAATAAGAACAAAGATATATTATGTAAAGGTATAAGTACACAATGATAAATGTAAATGTATTGTATACCTAAAATGTACCAATAAAAGAATCTAAGAAAAAGAAAGATTCAGTACAATAAGAAGATATAAAATTATAGGCTGGGGATTTAGCTCAGTGGTGCTGGCGCCTGCCACATAAGCACAAGGTCCTGAGTTAGATCCCTAGTACCAAAACAAAAACAAAACAAAAAGATATAAAATTATAAATACAATAGAAGTAAAACTGACAACATTGAATAAATAACTCAATGGTTCTACAATAATAGTTGGAGATGTCTATAGCAACTCTTAATAATAGATAGAAATAAATATATGCAGGACTTACAACAGTAAATTAGCTAGATTTAACAGACATATACAAAAAATTTACCCAACAACAACATATACATTCTACTCAAATGTACATGAGACATTTTCCAGGAGAGACCACATGATAGGCTAACAAACTAAATTTCAAATGATGTAAAATCGGAGGTATCTTTAAAAATGTGTTCCTCAACCACAAAAGAATAAAGTCAGATATCAATAACAGAAAAAAAATGGAAAATTCACAATTTTGTGGAAATTAAACAACATACCTTTTTTTTTTTTCTGGTACCAGGGATTAAACTCAGGATCTTGTGCTTACAAGGCAGGAGCAGTGCCACTGTGCTGAATCCCTGGCTCCATAAACAACATACTTTTACATAACAGATTGAGCAAAGAAAAAAATCACAGGAAAATAGAAAATACTTACAGATGAAAGAAAACAAAAATGCAACATACCGAAACTCATGGAATACAATAAAGTACTGGTAAGGGGGGGGAATTTATAGCTATAAACACATTTTTTAAAACTCTCAAATGAACAAAGTAACTTTACAAATTAAAGAACTAAAAAATGAAAAACAATCTAAACCACAATCTAGCAGAAAGAAAGAATAAAATCAGTCTAGATAAACTAAAATGACAGAAAAAAAAGCAGAAAATCACTGAAACTAAAAGTTCTTTGAAAAAAATCAACAAAATTGACAAGTCTTTAGCTGAATGGACTGATATCAAAGAGAGAAGACTCAAATTGTTAAAATCAGAAATAAAATTGAGGACATCACTACTAATTCTAAAGAAAGAAAAGGAATGATAAGAGTATAATGAGCAATAATATGTAAATAACTTGGATAACTTAGATAAAATGGACAAATTCCTAGAAACACAAAACCCATGGAAACTAAACCACAAAGAAACAGAAATGTTGAGTAGACCTGTACCTACACCAGTAGGGACACTGCTATGGTTTGGTTGTGAAATGTTCCCCAAAGCTCATGTGTTGAAGGCTCAATCCTCAGTGTTTGAAGGCTTTGGAAACGGGATCGTATCATGAGAACTCCAGACTCATCAATGGGCTCCTCCACTGACGCATTCATAATTTGATGTCATTATTGGAAGACAGGGGAACTTATAAGAGTTGCACCCTAGTTAGTAGAAGTAGATCACAGGGTGCATGGTTTGGAGGGTTATATATATCTTGACTCAGACCCTCCTTTCCTTCTTCCCCTCCCCTTTCTTCCCCTCCCCTTTCCTCCCCTCCCCTCCTTTCCCCTTCCTCTCTTCCTCTCCCTCCCCCTTTCTCTTTCTCAAATCTTCCCTCCCTCCCTCTGCTTCCTGCTGTCATGAGATGAGCAGCTTCTCTGCCATGCCCTTCCACTATGACGTACTGACTCACCACAGGCCCAGACAGTGGAACCAGGGACTATGAACTACTGAAAGCATGAAAACGAAATGAATCTTTCTCCCTTTAAGTTGACTTTCTCAAGTATTTTGTCACAGTGATGTAAACTAACACAAAGACTGGATGAGTAATCAAAAGTCTGACAAAGAAAAACTCTGGACCTGATGGCTTCATTGCTAAATCTGAACATTTAAAAAACTAATACGAGGGCCGGGGATTTAGCTCAGTGGCACCACGCCTGCCTTGCAAGTGCAAGGTCCGAGTTTGATCCCCGGTACCAAAAACAAAACAAAACAAAACAAAAACTAATACCAATCCTTTTCCCCGAAAATGAAAGAGATAAGACTACTTTTTAAACCCAGCATTACTCTGATGCCAAAGTAAAGTAGAGACATTACAAGAAAAGAAAATACAGACCAGTATCTTCCATGAACATTTATGTAAAAATCCTCAACTAAAAATTAGCAGGCTAAATTTAGGAGCACATTAAAAGGATTATAAACCATGACCAAGTGGTATAAATTCCTAGGTTACAACTATGGTTCAGTATAAAAATTGGTCAATGTAACAAACCATAGTAACAGAATAAAGGGAAAACCAACCAAATAATCATCTCAATTGATGCAAAAAATAATTTTCACAAAATTTAACACTTTTGTGTGTTTGTGTGTGTGTGTGTGTGTGTGTGTGTGTGTGCGTGCGTGTGATGGGGTCTCACTGTGGTGCCCAGGCTGGCCCTGAACTCCTGGTCTCAAATAATCCTTCTGCCTTATTCTCCCAAAGCAGCTGTGAATATCCACAGCACCATGCCCAGCTTCAACACATTTTTTATGATTAAAAAATCTGATAATCTAGGAATAGAAGGAAACTACTTCAATATAATTAAAAAATTATATAAGATATATATAAAAAAGTATCTTCCTCAATAGCGAAAGATTAAAGGATTTTCCTCTATGAGCAAGACAAGCATACCTATGCTCATCACTTCCATTCAACACTGGAAGTTCTAGTCACAGCAGTTAGACAAGAAAATAAATAAGCATCCAAACTGTAAAGAAAGAAGCAAAATTATCTTTTTTCAGGTGATTTGAGCTGATGAGTAGGAAACTTCCAATTTTTCACTTAAAAAACCTGTTAGAATAAATACGTTTAGCAAAATAGGATATAAATTCAACAAATAAAAATTAGTTATTTGTATATATTAAAAATGAACAAACTGAAAAGGAAATTACAACACAATTCCAATTACAGTAATATCAAAAATAATAAAATGCTCAAGAATAAATACAGTGAATATTTAACCACTGAGATGAAAGACTTGTACAAGGAAACTACAAAAGACTCCTGAAAGAAATTAAAGACATAAATTGAAACACTCCATCTTTGTAAACTGGAAGATAATATTAAGATGTTGATACCAATGTGGAGATGGATGCTCAACATTATTAATGTATTAGAGTCACTATAATTTTACCTAAAAATGATTTAGATGATAAATTTTGTTATGCGTCTTTTGCCACAATAAAAAAATTTAGGAACTGGACACGGTGGTGCACAGCACTCAACGGGCTGACACAGGAAGACTGTGAGTTCAAGGCCAGCCTTGGCTACAAGTTTGAGGCCAGCCAGGACAACACAATGAGACCAGGTTTTAAAAAAACATGAAGACCAACAGTGTGAAGAGACAACCCACAATGTGGGAAAAAATCTTCACGTGCTGTCCCTCAGACAAAGGTCTACTATCTTGAATCTATAAAGAGCTTAAAAAAATTAGACCTCCCAAATTTAAAGACCCAATCCAAAAATGGGCATCTGAAATTTCTCACACGAAGTAGAAATAGCAAATAAACATATGAAAAAATGTTCAACATCAATGGTCATTCGAGAGATGCAAATGAAAACAACACTGAGATTCCACCTCACCCCAGAAAGAATGGCTGCTATCAAGAAATCAATCAATAACAAATCCTGGCAGGGCTGTGGGGAAAGAGGAACACTGCTCCACTGCTTGTGGGAGTGTAGACTGGTGCAATCACTGTGGAAATCAGTATAGAGATACCTCAAAGAACTAGGACTGGAAGTCCCATTTGACCCAGCTATTCCCTTGCTGGGTATCTTCCTCAAAGAATTAAAAGAATCATACCACAGTGATATATGTGCACCCATGTTCACAGCAGCACAATTTGTAATAGCTAAAACTTGGAAACAGCCCAAATGCCCATCAATTGGAGACTGAATAAAGAAAATGTGTTTTTTTAATAAAATGGAGTACTACTCAGACATAAAAAAACTGAGACATTAGAGATATTTATAGATAAATGGATGCACATTGAGGTGATACTCTTAAGTGAAATAAATAGGACACACGTGTAAATACTAGTTTCTCTAGTGTGAGAAACTGGAAGTGTAAATAAGGACTAAAAGGTATAATAGATAATGTGAAATAGGAATAAAAGGGGCAAAGGGGAAATGGGAGGGGTAGAGGTAAAGGAAAGAAGGGAATGGAATTAATATGAGAAAATGAAAAAATGGAAACAAAGTCTTTGTAAATAGGGAGGGATGGAGGGGTTGAAGGGAGGGCAGGGGAAGGGGGAAAAAATAAGAACCAAGAGTGATTATGTAAAGGTGCAAACTTCCAATGTTGAATGTCATTATATTGTATACCTAAAATGTTTAATAAAATAAAATTTAAAAAAAACACAAAGAAATATATTAATTTCTATTAACTGGAATCCAGTAAAGAAGTTACAAATTACTTAGAGCCTGATAAAATGATCTTAGTAAATACAAAACGGTTTTACAAAGCTTCAATTTATAGCAACTAATGTATCAAAATTCTTAACATAAATCATTACATTTTATAAAACTTTATAAAATTATTATATGTGATGAAACTAAAACAACACAATTTTAACAAAAAGAAAACGCAGACAATACCTTGGAGGCACGAATCTGCCTATGAACATCTGTTAGTTGTTGGATTTTGTATTCTAGCTCTGAAATCTGGGCTTGAAGCCAGGTCCATCGGCTGCCAACTCTTGCTCTGTCTACAAGCCACTTCCATTCAGTACTACGGTTACTGAGAATAAGAAAATACTGTTAGTCAAAGCACAAAGCCAATCAAGATTTCACAGACTGCTTAATAAGTTCCTTGAGTCCTAGCATAAAATCCTACTTCCTTTACAAAATAGCTAATTACACGAAAAGAGAATGGCAGATTGACTTCTTACCAAAGAAAAAGATTAAATTTTCATACCATTCCACCCCCAAATAGTTGTTTTTATTTAACACTGTGTATCCAATAGTAAGATAATCTTTCTGCAGTTTAATACTTCATCAATGGTAAACACTTAGATAGGGATGGGCCAGCAAAGAAAAGTAAACATGAATGATAATACCAACACCATATAAGAACTGATACATAAGGTCTCATGTGTAAGTAGATAGCAAGTATTGGACAAACCATTTGAACTAGATCTAGATCCATGTAGCAAACTATAGTGTATTCAACTTAATTATATGTAATTTTTAATGACTAAAACAGGCATCACTATTAGCTAACTTCATAAAGTCAATTTAAAGAAACTGACAAAAATTATTAAAAATATGAATGCTCTTCTACATTTCAAATAATAACCATACCAAATATACAGGTCTTAAGAGATTTTTAAATCTCTTAAATTGTTAAAAATCTGATTCCTGGGCTGGGAATTCAATCCCCAGTACCAAAAAAAAAGAATTAGGGCCAGGGATTTAGCTCAGTGGTACCACCGCCTGGCTCACAAGCACAAGGTCCCCGGTTCAATCCCCGGTACCAAAAAAAAATAAAAATGTTAGAAGAAAAAATCTGATTCCCAGGATTCACAACCAAGAAATCACAAAGAAATTATATAAAGCCATTCTTTCAAGTATATTTGAAAATAAAGATGGCATCCTAACTCCTCCTAGCTCCTCTATCGTTTGGCAAGGACACTGTTCTAATCCAGTTTGTAAGATTACAGATTAATTACTTTATATATATTTCAACCACCTTAATTAGAAAACAATTATTTGGAATTATAGATGATGTGTGTTATGTTTGTACACGTGTGTATTACACATTTCCAAGGAAAAATATGGAAGAAATTGATGGGAAATAATTATTTAATAGCAAAACATATAACTTCATTTAAAAAGTCTAAAAATCCATTTATTGTCAAACCCCGTAGAATGTATACCACCAGTGCTCAATGGTTCTGCTGCTTGCCTCACAAGCACAAGGTCCTGAGTTCAATCCCCGGAACCAAAAAAAGAAGAAAAGTGAACTATAATATAAATTATGTAGTTTGAGTTATAATGTGTCAACAGAGGTTCATCAATTATAACAATTATGCACCACAGATAGCTGTTGATAGAAGTTGTACATCTGCAGGGATAGGGATATATGGAACTCTATAAATTTCACTCAATTTTACTGGGACCTAAAATTACTCTTAAAATTTATTATTAAAAAAATGCATCTAAACATAAGGCTATATCTTTCATATTAGACTTTAGCAAAACACTTGTTTTAAGAGATCATTTGCTGTCAGATAAACAGGAGGCAATTATTGTAGTTTTACTATAATTTATGCATTATAACAAGATTTTGTATCAGTATTTAAAAAGGTTATTGATAAAAAGATTCTTACTGTACATGTGATTGGAGATATATGTATTATGGTATCATTATTTATTCATTTAATAGTCATTATTGTGATTTTGTAAATTTGACACACTAGAAAATCACTTTCATAGATATGGACAAAATGAAAGAGAATGCCTAATTAAAATTCATTATTCATATAAATATTTAGTAACACAGAAGCCAATTATAAAACTTAGGAGGGGAATAAAAAACTTAGGAAAGCAAGGACCATACCATACAGTAACTTTTACATGACAGGGTATAGAGTTTGGATTTTAATGAAAATGGAAACTATTGGCAAAGTAGTAATAAATTTTTTTTTTAAGTACTTGGCAACTAGGTAAAGAAAGCATTTATAGCAGGATATGAAATGAAATGAGGAAACCAATTAAAATGCAGCTAAAACAATCTAATTTTGGTGCAAATAGTAGGCTCCAAATATTTCAATGCTACCCTACGTTTCCCAGGCGTCCTTGCACATAGGTTAGAACCATGTGACTAGTGATGACCAATAGACTGTAAACAAAAAGGACACTGCCATTTTCAGTCCATCTAAGGATCTCCAAAACCACTCTTTGTATAACTAACAAGACCATACTATTATACTTTAGTAGGAAGATGATCATAGTCCAAACCTCAGTGGATTTTATGTAAGCCACTGCAGACCTTTGCTGAGTTAAACCACTGAGGTTAGGAGGCTGATGTGTGACTCAATATAACCTATTCTGAACTAAAACACTGAATATGAAAATGGTTTGGAGTGGAAAGAGGAGGGCAGATAAAGAAGATAAAGTAAGAGGATGGATTCGAGCTTCATTTTAAAGTTAATGGACTTGCAGAAGTATAGCATTGAAGTAAACATGGGAAAATTAAAGATAATCTTCCATATTCATTGTCTTCCAGTTGGAAAATTTTCCCATAAAATGCAATTTGCTATTGCTATCAAGTTGATTACTTAATGATCAAATATAATAGAGAAAAAGAAAATATTCATTTCTTCTTCATTTTGAACTTCTGGTAAAGACATTCTGATGCTGAAATTAGTATTATAAAAATTATTTTCCTGTTCATACATTCTATTAGAATTAGACTAACATACAAAAATAGAAATACAAGATTAAATTTAAGTAAACAAAATCATGCCAAAGCCTTGTGATGAGATGAATTATGTATCTCACATTTTAATAAGTGAATAAAATCTGTTTGCTATGCTTAAAAGTGGTAGACATCCTTGCCACTAAAAATGTTCCCTTGCTTGAAATGTTTTCTTTAAAAATAATTATGGTTGTAAACACATAACACATGAGCATATGGCTAACTTGCTGAAAGGAGATTAACACCTGTGGTATTCTAAAGACAAAACATAGTTTGTGTTAACAATTTATGTAACCAATGATGTAATGACTAATAAAATGTGAGTGTAACTAGTCAAAATATAGCTGATAGAATAGCAAACCCATAAGATTTGAGGCATACCCAGAATATCCAAAGAGACAAACTAGTTTATAAGTCTAACCTGCTAGACCATTAAGAACATTGACTTCCTGCATCTCTCTGAAGTGTGCTGACCTGATCACACACCTTCATATGCAGTCCATGACATGGTACTCCTGCCTCTAGTGAAGATCAGGGCAAACACATCTGTGAGTGGAGACTACCTGGGCACTGAGAGAGCAATCAGTCCCCAAAACAATAGCAAATGCCTTCAGTCGCCATCTTTGCTGGCTTGTAGTCACCACTTAACTTGCTAACGGAAATAAGTACAGCTGGTCAAGTAGTTTTGAGAGCAATTTCTCTTTTTATTAAATACTTTTTCACATTTTGAACCGACATCTCTGTTTTGACTTTGAAGTGTGGTTCCTCAAAACAAGACAGAGCTTTCCAATATTGTATCTCAGATTACCAAGATTTCAAGAGATGTATAAATTAATTTTGCCTTTAATGGATTAAGAGTTTTTTAGATCACTAATACAATGAATTAATTATGACTAGAGATCAAAAGAGAAGGTTCAGTTGTGAAAAATAATGATTCCAAGGGAAGTAAGATTTGTCCTACAAAATATAAATTGGGCCAACCTTCCCTACTAGGAATTGCTTGCCCAGGAAAAGTTTATCTTTCCCTGGATTTGGGTTTAGATTGGGGTGGGCAAACTTTTTCAGTAAATAGATAGAGTAAACATAGGCTTTGTGGACCACATGGTCTCTGTAACAAGTACTCAACTCTGTGTTTACAGCATAACAGCTACAGGGATACATAAATGAGGGGTATAGCTGTGTTCTAATAAAACTTTATTTACAAAAAAGAGAGTGGGCCAGATTTGGTGCATGAGCTATAGTTTTCTAACCCCTGGTGTAGATCATCTTTTAATATGAATCTTCTGCTTCCCAAGGGATTATTTCTTTTGATAATGTGCCTGTGCAAATATTTGGCCAATATTGAATAAGATTTTCTTACTAATATTGATACAATACTATATGAGAATATAAGTATTAGAAACACTGTCTCAGTCTATACCTTGCCTTTCATTTTTGTAATGGTCTTTTGAAAAGCAAAGGATTCTAATTTTGGGGGGATGGGGATCAAACTCAGGACCTTGAGCTTGCAAGGCAGGCTGAGCTAAATCCCTGGCCATTAAGGATTTTAATTTTGATGAAGCACAAATGTATCAAATTTTTCTTTTTAGTTATTTTTGTGCACTAAGAAACTGCTAACACAAAGTCACAAAGATTTTCTCATGTTTCTAAATTTTCAAGAATTTTTAGAGTTTGGCTTTTTGATCTATGATTCAATTCATCTTTTTGTGTATGGTGTGAGGCAATTTTTAAAAATAGGAAATCCAGTTCCTGAACTATTTGTTGAAGAGATTTCATTTATCCTTTAGCAGACAGTTCCATCTGCTTACTCTCCTTTAATAAGAAAACACTATTGTTGAATATGTAAGATTATCTCCGAATGTTTGTTGTATATAGAAACACGTATTCTCCTTAGGATATCTGTTATCTACCTATTTATGTCACTACCTTAGGTAAATACTATACTATTATTATACTTTAGATTAATTCTTAAAAATCTAGTAGTATAAATTTTCCACCTTTATTATTTCTCAATACTATTTTGAACATTCTAAATTTGATGAGTTAGTCAATTTCTAAAGCAAACCAAAAACTAATATAGTTTTTTACTAGGATTGCATTGGATGTATAGATTCACTCTTGGAGAGCTGACTTCTTAAAATTTTCAAATGAGTGTATAAGTATATGGTATATTTCTGTGTTAATTTCTCTCAGCTATATTTTGTGCACTTTTTAAAAAACTTATGTTGATGTATTTCATATGTACAGATGCTGTTGTTATACAGCATCCACAAACTGTTTAGGTGGTAATATATAGAAATATAATTTTTGAATACTGA